CGGTCGGTCCTGTCTGGTGGGCATTGACGCTTGAAGCCTGGCGGCCTGCAAGCCGACTTGGGAAAGAAAAAAAGAATGGTTTTGTGCCTTTTTTTCCCTCTTTGAAGGTCTCGAAAAGAGTTTGGTTTCGTGGGGGGAGGGTGTCTCCTATAAATGTAATTTTTTTTTTTTTTTCCAGAGCCGCAATGTATTATGCCTAGAAAGTAAAGGGCAGCTGTTTCTCACAGGAGAGACGTTTTCAGCCAGCATAAAGAAGAAAGAACGAACTCAATTTATATTTTTAAAAGTGCCCTTTTGCCTTTTAAAGTTGGGGTTTTTTTCCCCTCAGATTTTTTTCATTATATTAATGAATGAGAAGCTCTTTTTTGAGAGTATGTTTTCATATATAAGCTGTCCTGGCCTTTTCTAATACACTACAAAGTATGTATGTACTGAGAGTACCACAAGATTCTGCTTTTTTCTTGTCTTTTTTTCTTGACTCCATCAAGTGTGTGACTTGCTTTTGGGATGTAACAAGATTGGTAGAACACTGGTGTGCAGGCCTTGAAACAGCACTGTCCAAAGTATATCTGAAGCATATGAATAGATAAGTTCCTTGAAATTGTGATGTGCATTGTTAGAAATTGCTTGTAGGCTGTAGTCTTGCGTTGCAATTTTTCAGCATAAGGTTAATGGGCAAGCTCAAGTCATAGCTTACAGAGTCAAGCCTATAGCTTATAGAGTCAAGCTTTAATTTCATTGGTAGACTCTGTTACAACATAAATCTGGTGTTTCTTGTATAGTATCAGATTTGTACCTATTGTTTTTCTTTCTTTTTTCCTCTTGTGTTTAAAAAAAAAACCCACTTCCATTTAAAAGCTAGTATTCTCACACTCTACTGTTCTGAATTAGATTTGGCCCCTTTGCTTCCTGTGCTTTCTCTTCTAGATAGGGCTGTTAAACTGCTGGGAAGAAATATTCCCTCAGTTCTGAGGATAACTAAAGGAATGGATCTGAAGATAACCAGAAGGCTTTGCATTAAACCCCAGGAAGAAAGTCAGCTTCGGCCAAAAAGTAAGTTTTTGATAATGAACATGCTGTGTTTCATGCCATGAAATAGATATCCAGGCTGCAATCATCTGAACAGGAATTTAGCTGACATAGATGCTAATATCTGATTTTGGGAGAGGAAATTCTGATCTTTAGACTAAAAAACTAGGCATTAATTTTAGCAGCGAAATCATGTTTTTTAGCAAAGCCCGGAGCCAGTATTTCTTCTTGTGACAGTAACACAGCTTTTACTTTGTAGCAGGTCACTGGTATCTTATCTGGCGTTCAGTCCTACATTGAGGCTCTTCAGCTGTGCTCTAGAACCAACTGTTCAACCCCAATGTAAACTATTGATGTTTAGGAACATCGTACGAGCTAAAATACTTCTGCAGTTTTTTTAGTACAGCCAGCTCCAGCTGTTCACAAAATTGAACGTGCCCTGCAAGAGAGAGTCAGTCTGAATTGCTGGCTTAGTTCATGTTTAAGGGTGGAGTTGTTCAGTTAAACCTCAGGCCATGAAACATTTTTTCACTATATATGGGACAGTTATGATGCTGTAATCAGACTCCCTGTGTAACAGGTTCCCTTCATGGCCTACTGATGCTAGGTAAACGGAGCATACAGATGTGAAGCATTTTGCGTACTTCTGTGTTAAAAACATAATGCAGATGTACTGGGTAAGACCAAAGGTCTCCTTGACAGTGTCATGTCTCCTGTAGTGGCTGGTAAAGGAGGTCCCTTATGTTTTTGTGAAGACCAATAGGAATGGTGGCCAATAGCAAGGATCTAAGGAAGAGTGTAGAAACAGGGCAAACATAGTGTTTCTCCCTAGACTACTGTCCCAGAGGTGTCATCTTTGTGTTAATGGTCCTCACTGGATTTTTCTTTCATAAATTTGCCCAGTCTCTTGAAGCTGGATGCATTTTTAGCATCCATGTCCTCCGGGAAGGAATTCCTCAGCTGAAACATGCTGTGAGGAAAACGAGTACAGTCTTGTATTTGTTTTTGAACCTGGTGTGTGCTATTTTCAACCTGATGTTCCTTTATTCAATACGCCTTCCAAAACAGGATCTGTTCATTATAACCCCCACTCACAATGAGTGTCACTTACGGTTCTGGTGCCCTCCCTCTGTTGTGCTGAAGGGAGCTTCAGTTACTGCTTTTCCAGGCCAAAGGTCTCAGTCTATGATATTGTTTCTTCTATGGTGGCAATTCCATACCTGTGGTTGTCCTTACCAATTTTCTCTGTATCCGTTCTGTTTCAACTGTTTCTGAGATGAGGGATCAGTATTTCACGTGCTTTTCAAAATGCTGGAGTTGTGGTTTTATACAATGGCATAATAATGCTTTTGTGCTGGTCTACGTTCCTAATCATTGTTAATAATGCTGTTTTCCTTTCTGACTATTACTGAACATTTTGCCAAGAACTCTATGAAACCCCAAGGGCTTACTCCTCAGCAGTAATGGTTAGGTTAGAGTCTGTCTTCTGCATGTGAACTGGAATTGCTTCCTGTTCATATACATGGCGTTTCACTGGCCATCTCATTGACTCAGGATTCTGAAGCCCGGCAGCTCTTCGCGCTTAGCCCTCTTCTTTATGTTTCTGAGTAACTTAGTGTTGTCAGCAAACTGTTTTTCCACCCTACTTCCTAGATAATTCATGAATCCATGAAGCAGCACAGAGACATACAGGATACCTCACATTGTTGGGTTCTTTGGGGGGGAGGGGGGGCATTAAAAAGGGGGTGGGGGGTGGGAAAGCTGTCTGTCTTTGCACTTTGTTTGATAGATTTTAATGGTATGTTATGTATGGAAACTTTCCCGTATTACATTCTGAATACTTTTTTTTTATATGGAGTTTGAAAGACTGAGCTGAAAATTAAGGGTCTAATCTTTGCCTATGGTCATCTGTTTGTTTATACCTCCAGATAAGATAAAATCTTACACTCCCTGGAAAAGTTAACGTTCTGTGATCCAGTGGTGCGGCATATTGGCTTTTCTGTAGCAGTTCCATTTGATTTATTTTTTAAACTAATTTAAATGTAATAGGAAAACTACGTAATACCACAGCAGCTTAGGAAGCTTAAATGCTGGAGCAGGTTCCACAAATTTAGAGCTACAAATATAGAGGTCTTGGGCAAAATTTGGCTTTCCTTACATGGCCTCAGTTTAACCCCTATTTACAGGTTTGTTAATCTGACTGTAATATACTTTTTGTTCCCTAACCAACTCTAGCAATCATACATAAAAATCTGCATTGCTCACCCTAACTGGTTTCATTACAGCTGTGGCAATTCATCTTCTCTGACTTGTTTTTGGTGGGTTTTTTGGGTTTTGTTTGTTTGTGTGTTTTGGTTTTTTTTTTTTTTTTCAGGTCGGTCTCCTTTGAGGGTGCCTGGACACAAGCCTACAGACTGGGAGAAAAGATTTTTGTTGTGGGCAGGCAATTTCAAAAAACCAGAGGATATACCAGAGACTGTCTCGTAAGTGCCAGTTTTGAAGCTGAAAAAAGACATTGTTTGTGCAGGAATAAGTTACTTGAATGCAACTTCAGAATAACTCTGCTTAAATGGAATAGGTTTTCACAGCTGAAAAATCTTACACTGCTGTGTTTGGTATATCATCTTGTAGATGAGATGACCTTGAGCAATTCTGTATTGCTGAGATAATATATTCCTTTTGATTTTTTTTTTTTTCTGAAGAGATGACCAGCATCTCTATGAGTTGTTTCATTAGAAAAACATGACAAATCAGTTAATTTTTACTCTTCTCTCCCAATCGAAAAAGCTTTTGCAAATATTAGTGTGAGCTTTTTCTAGTGTTTTTCTTTATATGTCAGTCTCCCATTGTGTGAAACTTTCATGATATAGCTATAAAATAACTGAAACTTATTTAAAGTATTTATTAATGAATGTCTGGAGGGCATGGGCCAACTTTCTTTACTCTTGGAATTTAAACTGACAAACAGTGGAAAGGCTCCCTAACAAAAAAATGTATATAGTCAAAATTTCCCTGTTGCTGGTGGAGTCTAAATGTCAGTGCTTTGCCTTGTGTGAAAAGTAGAAAATAAAACTGGATGTTCTAGTTTGCCTATCAAAAATGAAGATCAAACTTAACAACAACAAAAGGCAATTATTAGTTTAAAAAACATTCCTGGTGGTAGTATGGCTATCTTTTAAAACATGCTTGTAATGCTTTTAATTATATGTATTTATTTAAATTAAAAAGAGACAGTGAATCTTGTACTACTTGGGTAAGCAAACTATGTAGCTGCCCTCTAAAGATACTCTATTGGTTTGGATGCACAGTCTGGGAATTGAAAATCCACCCATGTATCCAAGTTTTTTCTAAATGTATCACAACGGATAAATATTGTTAAAAATTAATTCTTTGATTTTGTATTGAATCATTTTTCTTAAAATTACATTTGAAATGCAGAAAGGTGTATATTATTACAACTGTCAGTTCATATACTTTTGCATACCACACACTTGTTATGAGCATTTTTAAGAAAACAGCAGAGTGATTGAAGTCATTTCAATGGTTTATTGAAAGGACAAACCAACTTCTGATAAAAGCTGACCATTTTTGCAAGTACATAGGGAATTCTTGTTTTTATTTAGGCATATATTTCAGCCAAAGTTGAGAAGACAATTGGGAACTATAAAAGCACAAAAGCTTGTTTTCCTGTTCTAAGCTGAATTAAGAGTGGGTTGTAAGGGCTTGTGATATAACTCAGTAATCTTGCAAGATGTGGTGATCAGAAGTAACTCATTTATTAAACAAATGTTAATCTTAGCCACTGAATCAATTTAAAATGCAAATTGCATTCAGATAACTACCTTTTCCTCTTGTGTATTCTAACACATCCAAGGTACTTCAAAAATTAACTAATAAAGTTTTTTAAATCCTACTTCAGTGCATTTCAGCTTAATTGCAGCCTGCGCCAAAGTTGTTCATCACAGATTATTAGCAAAAACAAACAACCTGGAAGCAAAATTTAACTATTAGTTTAATGATAGATGGACATGTTCCCTGTGATCAGAAATCTTGTATTCAGATCAATACTCTGAAACAGTGATCAAATCACTTTTGCTCTCCTCTTCAAAAACAAGAACAAAAATGTCTTCAGTTCTCGAGTCCTGTGTGATTTACCATGTTCAACTATTGTGGATCCTTCAGTATCTTTTTTCCTCCAAGTATAAGGGTCAAAATGTGGGATTCCATAGATTCCAAGATTCCATATTCACTCATGTTTGTCTACAGTGATAATTTCCCAGTTCCATTAAATCCACTATCCATGTTAGTTTTGGGGTATAATTACCTAGTTTGATGCATTTATTCTTTCATCACATGATGTTGATGCTTTTCTAGTCATCTTTAACTTTATAATATGCCACATTTAATCAGACCATTAGATCTCCTTGAGAAGGGAGTCTACTGCTCTAAATTCTGCAAGGAGAGACAAATATATAGGGTATAGGTCTTTGGTTATTGCGGAAAGCACACTTAAAAGCATTACATTTCATTAGCCCTTCTTGCATTGGTATCTCTAATACAAACTTTAAATTCGCTGTAACTGAGATGTCATTTGGGTAGAATGATCTTCAGAGTTTAACCCAACTTGAATTACTTTTTGATTTTACTCATCATATGTACAGCTGGAAGGATACAGAAATACTCTTCTTGTGGAAGATTTCTGGGGTTTAAAAGATAACAGTAGGCTAGGCAACAGGTTTCTCAAAGGAGTGGTATAGCTACTGGTGTGGCTAGATAAGCCCCCTGAAATACAAAACAAAAAAAAAAAAAAATTTAAAGGTGTCTTCTGTCCAAAGCGGATGTTGGAAAGCTTACAAGCATGCATGCCTCCTTATTTTCTTAGGAAAACAGATTACCTTAAGACTATTTCCTCTAGCAGGAGGGAAGTGGTAACCACTGGTCTTTTACCAAGTCCTATTCAGAATTTCTGAGTAGTATTACACTCAGGAGCCAGTGTGTAATCTATAGCACTATAGTAGAGGATTATTAGTAAATGCATCCCTCTCCTTTCCCTGTTCTCCCCATAGTGAATGTACATATTTAAATACTGCAGCCTTCCTCCTCTGCATTGTGGTCAAGTGATCTAGAAAGGCAGCATTGTCTCCTAACAATTAAATAACCAAAAGTTAAAAAACGTTGGGTTTGTTTCCAACTTTGAGAGGTACTCCTTTGTGACAAGTAACTCCCAAGGTAGCTGGGGATCAGCCTCTCCCATTCTTGTAAAACCTTTTTGTGAAAAGAGCCAAGTTCAGTTAGCATTATACCAGATTACATAGATAGCATGCCAGGAGAAATCAAACAATTAGCCAAATGGTTTATTTGAGTCTCTGATGAGATAATGAGTCTATTCTTTTATTACTATTATTTCTTGAGGATTGAAACAATCAGAGCAGCAAAGACCACACTGCGTGTGAAGTTCAGCTATGTAATGATTGCCTTGACAATATTGGGATGCATAGTCATGGTGATTAAAGGAAAGCAGGTAAGCACAGATTTTTGGCTGGTGAGTGCAAATCAATCTTCACATAAACTCAGTTCCTCCTATGGATTGTTAGTAATGTTTTGTTTTGAGTTTTGGGTTGGTTTTTTTTATCACTGAGCAAAAATTAAAAATAAATCCTACCTAGTTCCCCAGAAGTGACCCTCACTGATTAACTTCCAAGTCAGAAAAGGGTGAAAAGGGTGATGTCACTGTTAGACTGCATATGCTTCCTTTAAAAGGGGGGGGGGGCGGGGGGGGGGAGGGTTTTCCCTCTCAGTGCACTGCTTAATTTTAGCTTGCGCTGTTTTAACTCTCTAATTTTGCTGATGGGCTGCAAGAGTTTGAAAGGGAGGAGCACCTTCTGTTGCAAGGATCTGGTGGGTGGGTAAGTGCTCCTTGGGCCAACCTATTACAAATGCCTCTTTACGCACTGCAACACTTGTAGAACCAATATAATGGAAATAGCAAATGAGTATGTTTCTCCACAAACAGACTTGAGAATTCTCAGAGTCTTTTTAAACAGCGGGGAGATGGTCAGTAATAATTCTGTGTCTTTTAACTGCATTAGAAAATAGTCTTCCTTTAGTGTGGATGGAACAACTTTTCTCAAATTATTGTCAAATCAAAAAACTATTTCATAGAAAAGCTCCCAAGTCTTGTAGGTGCTGAGTATCCTTCACTTGCATAGAATTTGGCAAGATATCAAAGAAGTTCAGCATATGGCAGCACTAGGTCTATGATTTAATTTGCATCATATGAAGTGAGGAAATGTAAATTTCAAGATTCCATTAGATTCCAAGTGCAGCAAAGGTTAGTTATGCCTTAATTTTATGTTTTTTAACATGGTTGATGAACTATTAACTTTGTAGTATTTCTGTAAAGAAGCAAGGAGTGCTTTCTGTGGACTGAAGCCAAGCTAAAGCCTCCTGGCAGCATGTCTCAAAGTCAAGGAATATGAATATAATCTGTGCAGCTTATTGTCATGTTGCTTTTGATAAAAAGCACGGTGGTAAAAGAATGTACTGGACTCTGTTTCTGTTAAGGATCACTGGAAGCAGAAAATCCTGAGCTTAAAGCATCTACATGGGCAGAACCTTATTTGTATGCTGCCTTTCTCTGAAGCAGTTCTTCTCATGACAGTGTTCAGATGTTCTTTCTGTAGACTACTAAGTGTTCTAGAGGAGCCTTAAAAGTAGTATCAGAGTCTCAACCCCAGCACTGTGAACTACTGAAGGGTCAAGTGACATTTCTACTTGTCAGCATTCCCCTATCAAAATGAAAAGAATGCAGCACTCTGAAACAAAACAGGGGAAAGGTTTTTCCCTGGCTTTAGCAGAAGAGATCAAACACTGACAATTCCCAGAGCATTTTTCCTCTTATATTGGAGTAGTATGAATACAAACACTGGAAAGCGAGGAGGACTGCTGCTTTGGGATCCTTGTTTTCACAGCAGCTGGAATCTATTATGTTTAACTTCTGATTTGTTTCAAGTACCTCTGACTTCTGAAGACCAGTAGTACTAAATTAGTACTAAATACTGACCAGAAGCACAGAATACATCTGCTAATGCCTTAACAAAAAGGTTTAATTTATTCCCGGAGAAGTAATGAGTTTAAACCAAAATAGTCTATGGATGTTTTATTTTAACCCTCTCTCTTCCTGGCATTAAAGCTGACAGCAACTGTGCCTTGGTAAGGATAGGCCAGCTATTTTGTAAACTATTGATTCAAGTTTCATCTCTGTGGTCCCTTAGGTGACACCTCCTGCTCTTGCTTTGTCATTATGTTGTAGGCTGTAAAAAGACATGAATCTCTTACAAGCATAAACTTGGAGAAGAAAGCTCAATGGAGAGAGGAAGCTACTCAGACTACATCTGCTAAACCTTAGAGGAGGAAACGAAGAGACCAAGGACTGGGGAAGAAAAAAGCTGATATCCTTTTCGGCACTGGAAAGAGGATGTAGTCACATCTTTCCTGCGTGTTACTTCTGTACTCTCATGTTCAAGAAAGAATGAATACATTATCCTGTAATCATTAAAAACAGAAATACCTATTTTCTTTTCCTAACCACCTCTCCTTTCCTCCAAACTGTCATCTTCACAGTTAAGTGAAACAGGACAAGTGAGCAAACTGTATAGACAGAATAGCTGTTTCTCACATGTGCTATGCACAAGACTAAGCATCTTTTACAAAAGACTGCAGGAGCTGTACCTGCGTTCATTGTACCAATCTCCTTTACAAAGTCTTATGCTCACTCTTACAACTTACGAGAAGGTAACTGAGACACAAAAGGACAGCCCATTCGGTTTCCACTTGCACATCCATACTTGTAAAAACAAAATACCTTTGCTGGGCAGTCATCTGCTATCACTGACTATTTCAGGTCCCTTCAGGAATAATGGTGCTCTATGTATTCTACATTGTTACAGGCTGCTTAAAATATTCCGTATGTTCTCTCTGTGTAAGAGAGGACAATTATTAGGGGAGTCCTCGAGTCAGGAATAATAGTATGACCTGCATTAACATCATCAAAATGATGGTAAGTTATTAGAAAGTCTGCTTACCTGTTTGAGGTCCAGTATATACTGGCTGCATTTGTTTAAGTAAGTGAATGATTACTTTGAAGAACTGCCTGCCTTTGATAAAAACAGAAGGGGGAGTGATAGTGAAATGGCATTCCAGAGAACCAGTGTGTTGCAGATGACAACCTAATGGTTTTTACACCAGAGCTGGTAATGAGGTGAATGTCCAAGCCAAGGGAAGAGACACAAGTACTTCAAGGAATACTGTGCAACAGCTTCAACCTGTGCTATCAGATTTGCTTTTTAGAGGCACATGAGTATGAGAAAGTCAATCAGGCATTCCTGTTCTCTGCTGCTGAGCTCTTTTTTCCCAAACCTCATTTGGATTTGTGTTTTTCTCCCCTTTAAATTGTCATCTGTGCTTTCCTGATACTAGCTCACTTAAAGATCATCTGCCTCAAGTTTTAGAAGCAGCAGACCCAGTAATACCTGCAAAAAGCAACTCCTAGCAGTCCTATTTCTGGCATTCATCCCAGAAGAGTCACATACTGTTCATGCTGAACAGCCTGCTGCAACTGGAGACCAGCATTTTTCCTCCTCCTCTCAGTTCATTTGGAAGGAAATGTAGATTGGGACCGTCAGGACGGTTAGAAACAGTGTTACTTCCCAGGACTGCCTGCTAACTGGCCACTGGGGACACCACAAACAGAAGAGGCAGGTGTGTTTGACATTTAGTTTGTGAACTTCCTGATAGTGGGAAGCAGATTTCTTTTTTTTTTTTTTTTTTGGAAACTTTTTCCTAATTATTTTTCTTGTACTACTAAAAATTAGTGCTATTGCTGAAAAAAATTAAAAGCCCTACTAAAAAAATGCAGGGTACATCTTGTCTTTATACCAGGAAAAGAGAAGCAGTAAGATACCTATTGCACTCTTCTCTAGTACTTTGTCCTTTCCTCTAGAGCTAGAAAGTAAGTGCTGCAGTCCACCTTTTTATGAATTGCATTTCTGGGTACCACTTGTATTGATGAGATGTAACCAATCAAACAAGCTGTGCAGTCATTCCACCACAGAAGCTATAAACTTCAGATTATGTCACGACCTGTTATCAGATCCTCTGTAAGGCAATTATTGCAAGTATGCTGTCAATCAAACAGAGCAGGCTTCCACAGATTTGTCCACTCATTTAGCACTGAATGTAAGTCATGCTTAATTCCACTGCCAGGTATGCGAACAGATCTTTCATTGACAGCTCTGGTTCTTTGCCACAGTAGTAAGCACATGAGTGGGAATCAAAAAACCTTCTCAGATTGTGTGCCTGTGCTCATTTATGTATTAAATGAGACCAAAAAGGAGAACATGTACTTCAGACAGTATTTCAGGTTACCATGAAGAGACACGTGTGATTTGTGATGGCAGAGCTTAAAGCCATGCATCTCTCAAAAATAGCCTTTTTTCAATAAGCACCTCCAAGTGTACTCTGTGAACAGAACTGGCAGGTACCTCATCTAGTTTTGGAAATAAAACTACTTTGACTCATCCAGCTGGTAAAGCATTTCAAATAAAAATCTGTAAAATAACACTTGGAAAGCAACACCCCAGAGCTGTAATGGTCACCAGTTTTTCATTTTACTTAAATTTCTCTAATTTTTTTGAGTTTACTCAAAAACCGGAATTCTGGTCCAGTGGTTTAACAGAAGCTCAATGTAGAAGTCCTTCCTTCTATCACTCTGGTACCTCCACCATTTCAGGATCTACCACAAAACCTGTGCATCACTGCACACATTTACGTGTTCTTCCAGCTTCCACGTCTGTTCCAGAGTCTCAAATACGAGCCTGAACCATTGGGCTTTGTGCTGTCTCCAGCTTGCTCCCAAACATTTGCAAGTAGTTGGGTACTAGAAAAATGGTATAAATCTTTCTCAGGGAGGCAATGAAAGAAACCACCTCTTTCCTAGTGTGATAGCTTCCAAGAAAGCACTCTAAACACAGAAAATGGTTAAAAACCAGCACACATTTCAGGCCTAAGCAGCCAGTCTAGCCAGCTGGAGAACTTAATACACCTGTCAGCTCGTAGCTTTAGCCTACACCCTTTTAACAGTGCCTGATGGGGAAGAACATACTAAGCCCTTAGAACAGTTTTTAATTTTCTTTCTCCCCCTTGGCTTGGTCTGCAACACATTCACATTTATTGAAAAAAGTCAAATTATCAATCCTATACCACATGCCATATTGCTGTACCTGTTCCAGAGGCAACAGGTACTTCCCAATGCAATGATCAATCTGACACCTTGAACACTGCCTCAGAAGAGCATGCAAGAGCCCCATGGACATGGCCATAGGAGTACATAAAGAGCTCCTGTTTAGATTCCTACTAAGACTCGGGCATCTGAAGAAAGACCTTCATGACTACTGGCTAAAATTGGCATGGGAAAGTACTAATGCTGTGTTGTGCCAATCCCAGAAGCAAACAAATCATACAGGAAGACATGGGGAATTACTTAAAGCTGGCACAGAGGTAAAACAGCTGTTCTGGAAATCCTCAGGGAAGCACAGAGGTGCATCACCAGCAGCACTGTCACATTTAGGACTGGGTGGTAGGATTTGGTTCTTAACAGTCCCGGTGCTGATAGTTACAGAAATGCAGGTTCAAGGACACGTAGGTTTTCTGGGGTCAGTGCCTGCCTTCCCTTAAGACTAAGTGAAGGGACTTCGACCACCAGTAATTGGTTGGCATCAAGGAACGAACACAGGAATTTAAGAACTGGCTGAAATCTCTAGGCAGTAGTTCCCTCAAACGATTGTTTGCATGTGTGCTGTCTTCCCAAGAGCCCCAAGCACTAGTCCTGGCTTAGTGAGCTTTCAATAACCTTCTGCCCCATCATCTGTTGCATCCTCCTGAATCCAAGAGAGTGACCCTGCCTCCCACATTCCACCGGGAACTTTACCAATAGAAAGAATGAAAGAACGATAGCTCCTGTTCGCTGCCTCCACAAATACGCAAGACTTGAAAGGCATTACAGGTCTGTGGACAGGACGGCTAGATAACAATTCCTGTCCCGCATCTTCCTTTCTCTAATGTCCAGTTTAAAATTAGACACTGTTAAAACCTTAGTGTAGTAGTTTCACCTCATTACTGATGCTGCAAGAAGAACTCAGAGATTCCTGGTTCTCATCAGTCTTTCCACCTTGGCAGCTTGTGGGGCTTTTGGAAGGTGCTTAGATTGGATCTCCACAAGCAGACAGAAACAAATGCATTGATTTCAATTTTCAAGATAAGGGAAGAAGAAAGTAAGTGAGGTCACTTTTCTGGCACTACACACTGCATGGCAGAGCTGAGAAGAACCCAAGAACCTTGACGGCTCCCTGGCCTATCCTCTACACATAAGACCACGCTGCCTCCTACTTACACACAAAACAAAAACAGATCATTTCAAAACACAGTGTGAACTTCACAAAAGTGGAAGCTAGAGGCGTTCTCCGAGATAGTTCCTGTTTCAGAAGCAGCACATCCTTCATGAAAGCAGAGAATACCGGTTTCAGTGTTTCTAGCAGGGGACATAACCCTTATTACTCTCATGTCAGTCTAAAAAAGTGCCTTGTTTCTCGTCTGAATGGAACTTACAACCTTTGTACAGTTATTGCTGTTGCAAATTTTTAGCACCCCTTTTTTAACTGCTGAGAGTGTGTTAACACTGAGACTGTTCCTGTAAGAGAGAGTTCACCAATGCCAAATATAAAGTTAATACAAATTCCCCGTTTCTACTCAAGATTTCTTTTTGTACCTGTGAGTATTATACTAGCCACACAGAATTGTGTTAGGAAGTAGTGTTCAAACAGTAATGTATAATGATCCTCGTACTCTTTCAGTGGCACTTTTCCTCCAAAACAGAGTATTTCACCTGTGGCCTGAATGTTATTTATTAGATGGGTAACGTCACACTACGCGTCTGGCTCTACTAAAATGCAAATAGTTGACTTGCCCTTGGCTTACCAAGTAATTCTGATCGGTCTGTATCAGTGAGCTGTTCCTTCCATAATTCACAAGTCTGATCTCCCTTCCATACTCATATAATTTGCAGCCTTTGTTAGAAGTAATTTTATTTCTTTTCAACCTATTAATAAGGCTAAGTAAAGCAAGGCCAAGAACTGGTTGCTGGAAGATCCTGATGGAAATACACTCAATTAAGCACCATTTAAAATTAAATTGAGACCTATGAGTTAGCCACGTTTTAATCCATTTAATGTGTGCCATGTTGATTTTTGTGTTGTTTTAGTTTTCAGTCAAAATATTATGCAGTACCAGTCAAATGCCTTACACAGTCTAAGTATATATGATAACAATATTACCTGTGTCAACCAGGCCTGTCACTTCAAACAAACATACCAAGTTTAAAGATTTATACTTATCTGCTCTGAATTC